CTTTCTGCTGTGAGCAGCTGAGTTATTCAACAGAATTCTTAAAAGAAAACAAACATTAAGCACAGGTTAAAGGAGTACTTCAGGAGTTAGATCACAGCACCTAGATCACAGGATCTAGATCACCAGCATTTAAGGTTAGTAAACTCCTCAACTGAACTTTGACCTTTGGTGGGGAACCCGCTTAAAAACAGTGCGCTCTTACCTCGGTGCTCTGCTCCTCTGCGCTGCCCTCTGATTGGAGGATTCCTGGGAAGGGGCCCCAGACGGTGTCAGGACGGAGGTCCCTGACCGCCAACACCCTGCTGCTGCCGCCGCCTTCGTCACTCAGCTGCAGGTCATCTGTGAGGAAGAGGAGAGGCTACCATCAGGCTAAATGTACCACAGGGTTTCTGCTGCCATCGTGAACTCAGATAGCGGAGGGGAACCGGCCCAGCTCCACCTGAACCCTGAAGGAGGTGGGTTCTGTTAGTGGCCCTTCAGCAGGGGGACTCTGAGGCTGCTGCTGGAACCGGTCCATCCCTAGAAAGGTTCTGAGAGCAAGGCCAGTAGTTCAGAGGCTGAGCACTGGATGGGGATGGGAATAACAGCAGCGCTTCCATTACAACAGCAGGTTTACACTCCTGGACCTTCTCCTCTGAACCCCCCCTTCCGCTTCACTGACTGGTTCGGGGATGGGGGGGCTGAGGGCCTGAGCTGAGGGCCAGATAAGGCTGTTTGTCTAACACTCTCCATGTCAAAACACTCATCTATCTTCTCTGTATCTATCCCCGGCAGAGAACAACGGACAGACGCTGATAAAATGGCTTTCCCACAGGGGGGGAGGGGGGGGGGTATTCTGAAGCAAGGAAAGGAAAGTAGAACGAGGACGTTAATTTAGAAAGACAGCCTGAAAGTCAGAGGGAAGCAGAACACATTGCCCGTTCTGTCGGAAACGCTGCGGCGCTGTAAAAAGGTTCAGGAAGTGGTTGGTTCCCTCCAGCCAGCAGTGACACCGGTACCACGCGGATCAGATGCTATCTGGCATCAGGATCAGCACCACAGCAAACAGCCTGCTGTGCCGGGCTCCGACCCGCTCCGTCCTTCAGACCCGTTTCACAAACCCGCTTCCTTGGGCCCCATTCTGCTAGCCCTGACCAAGAACCTTCCTGCTCCAAAGTCCAGCGTCCCTCCACCTACCCTGGCCGCGCTGACCCGCTTATCTCTGCACTCCATCAATGTCCAGTCCGCCTGGCTGCCATTGGCCGATCCTCGTCACATGTGCTGCTTATCGGGCTGCGCAGCGCCTCTGACCCTCATTGTGAAACCTCACGAGGATCTGACCTCAGTAAACCACCTCAGATATGGACCTACAGACGTTTCATGTTCTCCTGCACCCTCTATGACCTTTCAGGGAGGGGCTCTGTTTGGACCAGGAGCAGGAAACCATCATGGGTTCAGTGAAACGTATGATTCACAATTTAGAAATGTTAAAGATTTTTGGCTGCACCTGAATATTTATTAACATCCAGGGGTTGACGTTAAGGATTTTTA